ATTACAGGAATGCACTACCATGCCCAGCTGATTTTTTGATTTATTGTAGAGATGAGGTCTCACTGCCCAGGTGGGTCTCAAACCCGCGGGGTCAGGCAATCCACTCACCACAGCCTCCCAAAGGTGCAGGATTACAGGCTGAACCACTGAGCCCGGTCTTTTATCTTTTTTTTGAGTTGGAGTCTCACTCTGTTGCCCAGACTGAAGTGCAGTGGCTGCTCCCAGCCACCGCAGCCTCGACCTGCTGGGCTCCAGCGATCCTTTCGCTTCGGCCTTCTGAGTAGATGGAACTACAGGTGTGCACTACCACACTTGGCTCAGTTTTGATTTATTGTAGAGATGAGGTCTCACCAAGTTGCCCAGGTGGGTCTCGAACCTGGCAATCCACTCACCTCAGCCTCCCAAAAGTGCAAGAGTATAGGCTGAGCCACCGAGCCTGGCTGGAGAACTTCCAATCCTTGAGCATGTGATGTTTCTCCATTTGTTTTTGTCTTCTTTGGGTTCTTTGAGCAGTGTTTTGTAATTTTCATTGTAACAGTCTTTTAATTCTCTGGTTAGGAAAATGCCAGGGAATGTTTTCTTGTGTCTGTGAATGAGGTTGTGCTTTTTATATGGTTCTCTGTTGCTGATGTATAAAGAGGTGGCTGTCATTTGCACATTTATTTTGTATCCTCAGATGTTTCCACATTCCTTTATCAGTGCAAGGAGGTTTTTGGCAGAATCTGTTGGACATTCAAGATACAAAATCTTATCATCATCAAATAGGGATAACTTGATTTTCTCTTTTCCTATTTGGATACCCTTGATTTCTTTATCTTGTCTGATTGCTCTTAGGTAGGACTCCACCTCTATTGTAATCAGGAGAGGTGAAAGTGAGCAACTTTGTTTTACTGCAGTGTTCAGGGAAATGTTTTCAATTTTGGTCCATTCAGCAACATGTTGGCTATGGGTTTATCATAGATGTCTCTTACTATTTTGAGGTATGTTCCCAGTATTCTTAGGTGTTCAAGGGTTTTTATCAAGACAAGTTTGTCCAGGGACAATGTCTCATGCCTATAATCCCAGAGTTTGGGAAGCCAAGGTGAGAGGATTGCCTGAGACCACAGGTTCCAGACAGGCCTGGGCAACCTGGTGAGACCTCATATCTACAATAAAT